TTTGCTAAAGCTGGCACTGGGGGTTTTGGGAGGACCAGAAACAACTTATTTGAATATTCATCATTTGATTAATGAATATGCAAATATGCAAATGAACATTACTGGTCCTCCAAAAGTTCGTGAATGGATTTACTGGTCCCCGTGTCAAAAAGTTTGGGAACCCCTGCTCTATGGTATGTGAGGAGGATGGAAATATCTTGGCTCCCATGATACTGATATTGGTTTATTTTTCTGTTACTGGGTGGGATAATTGTAGGTATTGCCTATTTTAATTAGTTGAACTTTGAAAAACCAACCATGTGAACTGAAGAAACCATTCACAGGCTGTTACCCTTAGGCAGTTAATTCAAGGCTATGTCTACACTAGCCCCCTGGTTCGAACTAGGGAGGCTAATGTAGGCATTCGAAGTTGCAAATCAAGCCCGGGATTTAAATATCCCGCGCTTGATTTGCATTTTCCCAGCCAGTCGCCATTTTTGAAATGTACAAGTCCAGACTAACTGCCCACATTTACACGCGGCAGGAACCCGGTAGTTCGAATTAAAGCCCTAGTTCAAACTACCTGTTAAACCTCATTCCAGGACTTTCCAGGAGGAATAACAGGTAGTTCGAACTAGGGCTTTAATTCGAAATACTGGGTCCCTGCCGCGTGTAGACGCGGGCAGTTAGTCTGGACTTGTAAATTTCAAAAATGGCAACTGACCGGGAAGATGCAAATCAAGTGTGGGATATTTAAATCCCGGGCTTGATTTGCAACTTCGAATGCCTACATTAGCCTCCCTAGTTCGAACTAGGGGGCTAATGTAGACATACCCTAAGAGAGCTTTTTTTCTTGAAGTTCTTTGTTGGATATATTGCAGAAATAAAGATTTAATGTATTGAGATTTCAAGATCAGTTCTCTTTGTGGGGCACGATCATTCTATACAAATATTTACAAAGGAAATAGAGCTTTTAGTTTGCACAATTTAAAGAGAGAATACCAGACACTGAGTCGGTTATGGAGGTCTCTCTCCTTTCTTGAGTGTTAGTTGGAGGAAAAACAAATCTCACAATTAAGAGGGTGAAACAAATTGAACCTGCTTTTTGTTGTTTTCTCAGCAATTCAGACCCCCCTGCTGTGGTGGAGTGGCTATTCAGTAGCCTTTGTCTGCTGTGTAAGCAGCCAGATAATTCTCCTCCGGATCTGGAGATTTCTGGGCACATACTTTCAGGTAATCCTGTGTGTTTGGTATTTAACACAATGTAGTTCCAAGTACTGAAGCTTTAGAATCTACAACAGACAATATTCAACTCAGAACTTTAGGTTATGAAAACAGACTTCAACTTGTATTCTTTTGTTATCTCTTTTGATGAAGAGGGCTACGTTTAATAATTAAGAGAATGTCCATTCCAATATTGGTAATGATATCATCAGCGTTTTGGTGTCTCACATCTCTTGTTTCTCTTCCTCCTGCCCTGTCCCCACTATTCCTTTTGTCTTTCATTGCTTTTAGCATGGAGCTTTACAATTAAACTTTTTTTTATATTCTGTCACATTACATGTTAATAGCCTGAAGTTCAGTTTTTTGACCAGGGGTGTTGGTAGGTGGTGGGATGTCACGAGTATTATTTTTCTGCATCCTGATCATATCTTCTCCGTATAGTACCCATCTAGATTATCCCTGATGGTTCATTGATATGTGGGTCAATGAACTGCGTCATCTATCTAAATTTTTGTATGGCCACTCTCAATGAAGTATCTGAGCACGTCTGTGATATCTGATCTCTCTGGTCTTTTATAATAAGAAATAATTTTACCCGCAAGGAGAGAGCCTAGCTAGGAAACCTAGCTAACTTCACCGTGTAACAAATGAAACTTTACCAGCAATAGCTCTTCTGGAAGCCTGGATGTGGTCTTTCATTGTAGGTAAAAGAATGCTGAAACAGTTGTCCATTCTTGGTTTGCAGATTTTGTGATTGTGTTTCTTCAGAATGGATTTCAGCAGACTTCAGATCTAGGAAAGAAGATGAAATTCCAGAAAATCCCCCATGTAAGGAGGTACTATTTATACACTTTTTTCAAGCACCATTGGTGTATGTGTGTTGCTTTATCACATGCGAAGAAAGACGCAGTCCCTGCTGCAAATTGCTCGCAATCTAATATTTATAGGACAATAAATCAGATGAGCAAATAGAAAAGTAAACAATGAGGAGACCAATGCAGGATGATTTTTTGAGAGTTTATTGTGGACCTTCCTGCATTAATTTATGAAACTGGCTTTTCCCTCCAAATCACTAGGCTTTGTAAAGGTGGTTTTGGGGATCATGAATTGTCATAGTAATTCTTTTCAAGGTCACCATTTTTTTTTCTACATACAGATTTGGCTTGATTGCTTCCTTTTGAATATGGAGTGTGAAATAATGTGAAGTAGTAGGGAAAAAATTTGGAAATCCTATAGATTGTGTTTATACTACAAATAGTTTTATGTTAAGAGTTAATCTAGAAATTTTAGGATAATTTAGTTTTTAAGCCAATTGACTTTCTTTGGACATATTTACAGCCTTCTTAAATGCTAAATGTTCTTTAATTTATTAATTTAAATAGATCTGCTATGCTGTACTGCAAAAAATGTTGATATGTAAGTATTGATTATTTAGAATTTGGGGCTTTGTGCAATTTCCTAGGATTGTACTTTGTTAGACATGCCTCCCTTCTTTCCTGGGAGATTTTCAAGGGCATTCAGGAGCTATTTACCACTGTTGGATTTCATTTGTTGTGCTGCATCATGTACATGACTCATTGCTTAAGTAGGGATGTAATCCCGGTTAAAAAGTTAACTGGTTAAACGGAATGTTTAACTGGTTAACAGTGATCCCAAGGTGGGGGGCTGCTCCAGCCCCCTTCAGTGTGGATAGAAGTGGGGGGGCTGCTCTGGCTGGGACTGCTGTGCTCTGGGTTATTTGGGCTGGGCTGGGCTGGGCTGGGCCCACCACACTATGGGGGGGAAGTGGGAGAGGCTGCTCGGACTGAGCCGGTGCAGCCCCCCACCAGTAAACTGATTATCCTGTTAAGCATGCTGGTAAGACACTCGCTTACCGGGTAACTGGTTAACTTTTTACATACCTCTGATGCACCTTTCCCCTCTATAGGACCAGCTTCCTCTTGAACTGCATGTAATCTCTTTTTCTTTATATCTGCTCTCTTTGACTAAGAACTTTGAATTTGCATATTTTATACAAGTGACTGGGTGCTAAGTCTTTGACACCATAAAACACCATTTTAAACTAGCAGAATAACTGTTTTTTTTGTAAAATTTGAAATATCTGTCCATAGTGATGTGTTAATAAGTGGAACATAAACTGCAAGTGTAATCTTCAAATTTCTAGTCTCCCTGAATTTTTCCATTAATCATGTCTCCCTCTTGTGTTGGGAGTCCAGATGATAGTGCTCAGTAGGCAAGGTGCCTGAATTTTCATCACAAATCACAATGCAAAAAAGACAAACACAAGTCCAAAGCTTTTCTGATCAGCAGCATATGCTGTGCTATCCCACATAGCTTTCTCTCTCTTCAGGGAGAGCATCCAGTCATCGCCACTGATGCTCTGTAGATCAGTATATTGCTATAATCCTAACATATGGCTGTCCAGCTGTTGACCAGCTGTTCCTGGGTTTTTTTTTTATGGCAATGAAATACCTCCCAGAATGGAACATAAACTGCAAGGTGTTCCACAAAAGAGAAAATAATAAGGAACTTAATAACATTCTTATATGTAGTTTGTTCCACTTACGTCTGTGACGCTGTTGGGCTCATTACACTTCAGTAACTAATCAACTGCCTTAAAGCAGGTTTAGATATTTTATATAAAGTAACTGAATGATTAACAAAGACCTTGGTGTGGTGGGAGAGGAGTGTCAGCCTAAGAGTAGCAGTGGGAGCATGCTTTGTGTTAGGTAATGACTTTTAAAAGCAATGAGGAGACCTGTGACACCTTAGAGACTAACAAAAATATAGAGACTCATAAGCCTTCGTGGGCACAGCCCACTTCTGCAGATGAGCTATATACAGTGTTAGTGAGCTCCTGTGTCTGAAAATCAGAGTGGGGGAGGGGAGAGAAATCAGTCTCCTCTATTTAACATTAATTTATTCCCCTTTAGGAAGCGGGAGGAAAAAAATGAAAATAGAAGGGTCTGGCAGATAAGGAACAAGAGTGGGGCATCTGTGTGTCTCCCACATCCCAGTACACTTCCTTTCAAAAGAAGTGGCTCAAAGAAAATCTCAGCCTTAATCAAAGGGCTCTTCATTTAAAACTCAAGAGTTCTTCGATTTCCCTTCAGTAAACTTGAGGCTTTTGAAGATGTGATGGAGCAAGAAACAGCAAAGCTATTTCCTTGGCCACATTGACTAGAGCAGTGGTTTTCAATCTCTTTCCATTTGTGGACCCCTAGGAAATTACAAATAGAAGCATAGACACCTTTGGAAATCTTAGACATAGCCTGTAGTCCCACAGGGGGCTGTGGACCACTGGCTGATAACCTCTGCACTGGAGAAAAAGATCAGCATTTAGGCTGTGGTCACTGAGAATTGCTGCTTGATAGGCCAAGACAGTACTGTGTGTACGTTGCCAGTGCCCTTCCTTGTCTTCATCAACAATTGATGCAGTAGGCCTAGTCTTTAGTTGAGTGTTAACTTACTAGATAGAACATGGAAATCCCAGAGCTGGGACTGTCGGGGCTGAATTAACAAGCAGCATTCTGCTTTCTCTTCAGTATGGTCAGGAGGGTTAGGTATCCTCTAAAACTAAAGAATAAGTGAATATATGATCTTCTAGCATAAACCACCCACCTCCATACAAAATGCTATTGCCTTTAGTTGGACTCCACACAGGTGCAAGGATCTGCAGCCCTGATTTGGAGGTTACGTTGTCATGTATAGAATCCTAGAACACTAGAACTGGAAGGGACCCCGAGAAGTCATTGAGTCCAGTCCCTGTCCCTCACAGCAGCACCAAGCACCATCTAGATCAGGGCTACTCAACTTTGGAAGCCCCTGGGGCCACAATAATACAGCACATGCCGAGGGCCGCAACTCAAGTGTGGTTGCATGTACATGCAAATATATGCAAATAGCTTCTTTCACACTGATGGGAATGAACACAAAGATTAAGGCAAAAACCACACAACACGCAGGTCCCATTTAAGTAAGTTGTGCTGATATGACTAGAATGCAATAGTTACCTGAATTCCACCCGTATGACAGCACTATTAATGAGCAATGACAGTCCAGGAATTTAACTACTAAAATGCAGATCAACAGAAGACCATTGTGGAGTGTGTTCCCAGTGGAGGCCATATTCAAAGCATCCCACCTGCGGGCCGAGTGTTGAACCCTGTGTAAATCCAAATCTCACCGTGGGCCGCAAACAAACAGGCCATGGACTGCGTGTTGAGTAGCCCTGATTTATATCGTCCCTGATAGCTGTAACCTGCTCTTCCATATCTGCAGTGATGGAGAGTCCACAACCTCTCTAGACAATTTATTCCAGTGTTTAACCACCCTGACAGGAAGTTTTTCCTCATGTCCAACCTAAACCTCCTTTGCTGCAGTTTAAGCTCATTGCTTCTTGTCCTATCCTCCGAGGCCAAGGAGAACCATTTTTCTCCCTCCTCCTTGTGACACCCTTTTAGACACCTGAAAACTATCATGTCCCAATTCTTTTAGTCTTCCTTCATAAGTCACGTTTTCCAGACATTTAATCATTTTTGTTGCTCGTCTCTGAACCTTCTCCAATATCACCACATCATTCTTGAAATGTGCCTGGAACTAGACACAAGACTCCAGTTGAGTCCTAATCAGCTCAGAGTAGAGCGGAAGAATGACTTCTTGTGTCTTAAGAACATAAGAACAGCCGTACTGATAACATAAGAACATAAGAACGGCCGTACTGGGTCAGACCAAAGGTCCATCTAGCCCAGTATCCTGTCTGCCGACAGTGGCCAGCACCAGGTGCCCCAGAGAGGGTGGACCGAAGACAATGATCAAGCGATTTGTCTCCTGCCATCCCTCTCCAGCCTCTGACAAACAGAGGCCAAGGACACCATTTTATCCCCTGGCTAATAGCCTTTTATGGACCTAACCTCCATGAAATTATCTAGCTTCTCTTTAAACTCTGTTATAGTCCTAGCCTTCACAGCCTCCTCTGGCAAGGAGTTCCACAGGTTGACTACACGCTGTCTGAGGAAGAAATTTCTTTTATTAGTTTTAAACCTGCTACCCATTAATTTCATTTGGTGTCCTCTAGTTCTTCTATTTAGGGAACTAATAAATAACTTTTCTTTATCGGCCCTCTCCACACCACTCATGATTTTATAGACCTCTCTCATATCCCCCCTCAGTCTCCTCTTTTCTAAACTGAAAAGTCCCAGTTGCTTTAACCTCTCCTCATATGGTACCTGTTCCAAACCCCTAATCATTTTTGTCTTGCTCACAGCACTCCTGTGAATGCAGCCCAGAATCATGTTTGCTTTTTCTGCAACAGCCACACGGTTGACTCTTATTTAGCTTAGGCCACTATGACCTTTTGGCAGTTCTCCTTGGTAGATTGTCTCTTCCATGTAGGTGCATCTTTAAATGGTTTAATTTCTAGCACATGCCAGGGAGACTTTTAAAATGGCTCAAGGTCAGTGCTAGCAGTTTTAAAGCCTTTGTTACACGTTAAGACATGTTCCTAAGAACTGAGTACTGACTGGTTCCTGCTGCCCATTTCCCTAATGGGGTCACCTGCTTAAAAGATGCATAAGTTGCTTGTTCTAATTAGTTCCTTCATGTTGTTTAATTACATTGTTCTTTCCAGCTTTCTTTTTTTTTCTGACTCTCTTTTATTTTGCGGGATCCAGGGGTACTTGATGCAATTGCTAGTGAAAAACAAGAAGAGTCTTCTAAATTACAGGCCGTGAAATGTTGGTAAGAAATCTTATGATTGTCAGTGTGTTTTCCCACTAGTGCATGTCAGTTTTCTACAGACATAAAACTTGATTAAATGAGATCTTACCCTGCTTTACAAATAATTTAAAAGTATGGCTACTTATTTTTGGCATTCTCTCCCTTACCAAATATACATATGTAAAGACCAGAGATGATAGCTGTAGAAAATAAAGGTAAGTGTAGTAAAGTATATTGTGGCAATACAAGTACCACTCCTGAATTGTATAGTATCTCCACATAACAGTCTATGACTTTCCCAACAGTCATTCCTAGTTCTCCGCTTCCTGTCCCCTGCAACTTCCATCAGTTCAGATCTTCTTCTGAACTTCCTGCTTTGTTCCTGTTCCCAATTAGGATTCCAGCTATGCCTCTTTCAGTCATCAGGCCCATCCTGTGTTGTGTAAAGCTGATAGTTTGAGAAGAATACACAATCACTTCTTTATGTATGTGGTGTTAAAAATGTCTGTCAATATTTCCTTCATGTTGGCAATTCAACTGTTGAAAACACATTTAAAGGGGAAAAATAGTCATGAATTGTACTCCATGCATCACAGATCATGACTCCTATTCATTACTCCTGAACAGTTCCTTTGTTGTTTTAATTTGTAGGCTGGACATATTCACTGTGACAATGTACAAAAGCACCGACTGTCCAGAGTCTTTGCAACAGTTCTTCATTCACACCCTGACTGAGATTCTTACCTACAATCCTCTGTTGAAAGGTAGAAGTCAAGGAAGGGAAAGCTAGCTCTTCATGCTGTCGCTGGTGCATTAGTCCTCAGCTGTAATGTATTAGTTATATGAAAGAAGTGGACAGCACGCCCCCCACTGCTTGATGTTGTTTTTTTAAATTTATGGCTTCATCAAATGTTGGGGCAGGGGGGCTGCTGCTCTTTGGTGTCTATTGTAAAGTCTGACGTGTCTAGGAAGAAATACAATTCAATTGCAAGGCATGTGGAAAATAGGCCATTGAGCTGTGGTGTGGAGCTGCTTGACTGCTAGTTGGGAGAAGTTTATACTAGTACTAATTGCAGGTGGTCAGTTAAACTAGCCTAACCCCAGAGGAACACTTAACCAGGTGTCTTTGCCCCTGCTGTATACACATAGGCTTGCTCGACGTTGTTTGGGTCCTGAATTCAATTTTTGTTTTCTTGGAAAATAAAATGAGAATGTCCAGGCTTCATTTAAATCATTGCTCTGGGGTGGGGAGGAGGGGGTCAGTATGCAGGCTGCCCTGGGGAGAGAGGATTACGCCAGCTTCTCTCACTGAAGCAACTTAAGGCCAGGTGAGAAGTGCCTCTCCATTACTGCTGCAGTTCTGGTGGGCGCGGCTAGGGGAGGGGTGCATGTCCCCTGGATGGGGCAGGTCCCGGTCGTTGGCCCCTTGCGCTCCCCAGCCAGAGGGAGAGCTTCAGCTCCTCCTGCCCATTGCCCTCTCTAAAGGGCACTTGGGGGATGGAAGGCTCAGAACTGGGGCAGTCCTTAGGGGGGCAAGGGCATGCACCCAGCCACTCTCTTTCACCTTTTCTGTTTGGTGTTCTAAGAAGCAATCCCTTCCCAGGCACATTTCACTTTCCTGGCACAACCAAGCCCTTACGTTGCTGTGAGGAAGCTGCATACCGAATTTGGTCGTCTTAGGTTACGTCTACACTGCAGAGTTTTTGTGCAAAAACTCGTGGCGCGTCCACACTACAAGCGTGTTTTGTGCAAGAAAAGGTACAGTAGATTGTCAGAAGACAGGGCTTTTTGCGCAAGAGTTATTCCTCTTTCTATGAAGAATAAACCTTTTGGCACAAGAGCTCTTGTGCAAAAAGGCGTGTGGACGGACAACGGGGTTTTCTTGCGCAAGAAACCCCTATTGGAAAAAGCACAAGTGCTCTGATGGCCATTCTGTGAATGACCATCAGAGCTTTCTTGTGCAAGAGCATCCATGCAGTGTGGACGCTCTCTTGCGCAAAAGCACATGGCAGCATGGACACACTCTTGCGCAAGAACTTTTTGCAGAAGATCTCTTCCACAAAAAGTTCTTGCTCAAGAAGCCTGCAGGGTAGACGTAGTCTTAATGTTTAGGAGGAGTTTTTTAAGAAAAAGGCCATCTGTGTGTCTGACAGACAAACTCCAATAGATAGCGGATATGGTGCCCTTTCAGCAAACCAGCCCCATGATTGGTGTGAGTTCGATTAGCTTTGAATTAGTGGTGCTGCACTGAAATCACCGTCCTTGTGTGAGCAATCTGCACTTGAATGCTCCAGAGATTAAAGGTCTAAGAAAGATGGTGAATCACTGTCTGTAGTATATCAGGATGCCAGATTTCAGGGAGGTTTCATGTTTTTATTCATTATCTGACTCTAGGTAAAAGCTAAACTTGTTTTCTTTCCTGTGTATGCAGCATCCGATGCCATTCATATGCAAAGAGAGTGGAGTTTTGCAAGAACCTGCCCGCTGCTTACTACCTTGTATCGCAAAGTATGCCTGTCTCCTAGCATTTGTAAAGACAACATTGTTTATGGTTTTGCACAATTTCTGAAAACTTGCCCTGCTTGAGGTGTTAATTGGTATAAGAATATATTCTGATTTTTCTTGTTGCAATCTTAATATACTCTAGACTGAGATGGGGTTTCTCAAGAACAGTGCACTTCGGTCACAAAATCTGGACTATGTTGTAGAGGTAGCCAATGGAGTGATGGGGAAAAAAAAATAAGATTTTGTTTGTGCTAATGGATTTTTGCATAACTGTGTGTGCATAAAGGAGGAAGAATGAAAGTAAAAGCACTCCCTGAAATGGGTTTTTGGTTTTGTTAAAGGATTTGACTTTGCTCCCAATGAAATAAATGGGAATATTGCTGTTTTCTGTAGCAGGAATAGGGACAAGACATGGAGATGTAGCTTTGTCGGAAAATCGGGCGGAAGGGAATAACCTTAATGATGTTCAGGGGTTCCCTATGAGAAAAGAATCGGGGAGGAGGGGGGAGAATTTCACTCTAGTGAGTAGTTTGAATTGATTACTAAAGTAATTCACTGCTCCTGTCTTCCAGCTGTTCGTAGCATTCAGTGCTGAGAAGCTGATGTGTCATTTGCAGCAGATTTTGGAGACGCACGAGGTGAATTGGCAGCACGTGCTATCCTGCTTTTCTACATTGGTAGTCTGCCAGGCTGAAGCAGAGCAGCTGGTTAAAGGTACAGAGGGCTGAGAAACTTGGTAGGGAGCCTGTGTGTGTTGCTGTCTCTTGCTTTCCAAGTGATGAATAGTCCATCATAATTACAATTATATTAAATTTATAATCGCTACTTTTAGATGGCTTCACACATTGTATAACTGTCTGCTATGTTGATAAGGAAATGAACAATTCAGGAGCTCTGCTTTTCCGGTCAAATACATCTGGTTTCACTTTGATGCACGTGCAACATCCTATGACTTCCCCCTTCCCAAATTTTAAATTCAGCTGGCAGCGGTTATGTGATAACCACCGTAACTGCTAATGTGGGTGACAGGGTATTGTAGAGTCTGACTTCTGCCTTCACAATTGTGTTTGCAATATAATACTAGTAGGTAGACTTAATTTTTCTGAGTTTCCTATTGTGCATTCAGTTGCTATATTCTGTGCGGTGCTTGGAGCTCTGTAGAGTGTAAAGGATTTGTTGAATAACAAAAGTGCCTTTTTATTACAGATGTCAAAAGCTAGTCCCAAAGCCTCTCCCAAGTATTATGTACTGTCACTTGCCCTTGGTTCCCAGACCTCTTTTATCACGGATAATTGGCTCCATTGCTTATAGTCATAGTCCCTCACAGTGCCAAGATTTCATGACGTTTTTACCACAGATATTTAGTGGTTTTGGCCTATTGTTAAACCTTTTCTAGACCTACTGAGCAGTCTGCTGATAAAAGCCTTTGAGAATTACGATATGGAAAACATGATCACTGCATTCCTGATAGCTCGTCAGGCTGCCCTTGAGGGTCCTGCTGTGTTCATGCCTTATGCTGAATGGTTTAAGGTAAGAATAAACAAGGGCTAGCCGGGAATCATATTCCTTAACTGCACAAGGAAGGGTGCACAAGGGTGACAGATGAAAAGATTGGGTTGATATAAATCTGTACAAGAAGATCTTCATTTCAGTCAGGCAGCTTAGAGTAAAAATAAGAGTAACAATTGAAAATCCTGATACTGCTGACACTATATATTATCAATTTTGAATATTGTCTTTGCATCTACAAGTACATCATTTCTTCTTTAGTCATTCTAGCTTTCTCTGAGCTTTCCTTCCTTCCTTGGTTTCTCCATTTATTGCTCAGAAATGTCTTTTTGCACAGTGTTTGTTACAGTCCTGATAACCAGTCGTCATTAACACAAGCTGTAGAATAGAGAAATGCATGTGTAAGATACTCCAAGGTTACAAAAATATGTATGTAGTTGTAATTGCATGTGATGATGATCAGCTAGGATAACTGACAGTTTGCTTTTACAGTTGTGGTAAATGTGTACACAATTTAGGCATACAAATTGTCATGCATTTTTATATCTGCAAATTGACTTGAAATGTCTGAATATGTCCTGATAGTGAAATATTTAGGATTTATTAAAAAATGAACTGATTCTTTATATTTTGTGTGATCTTGATACACTTACATTACAGAGATAATAAACCAGTCTATTGGAGCAAAGCTATTTACCCTGTGGAGAAACCTGTATATTTGCTGTTCCTGATCTCTCAGTATATTACCTCATTTAACTACCTATACATGTCCTCATGAGATAGCATTAAGCCAAACTTGGATATTTACTGTGGAAGATTTTCTGAGAATTGGATAAGAGATTGATTTTTATAAATAATATCCTTGTTGTAGAAATGCTACCTGGGCAGATAAGATTGATGGGATTTCTACATTGAGTGTAGCACAGTGCAGCTGGGGTAATTTTCTCAGGGCAGAAAGACAGTTTTAGCATTTTTCCTCCTTTCAGGTTTCCTTTGGGAATGCCAGTGGTTACCATGGTAGCAGTAAGAAGGCATTGGTCTTTCTGTTCGAGTTCCTCTCAGAATTGGTCCCCTTTGAAGCACCACAATATCTGAAGGTGAGAAGCTTCTTAGGGAGATCAGTTTTTTGCCAGGCTGTTGAAGGCCTGCTCCAAATGGCTTCAGCTTATCAAACCAAGGCTTTGGCTGGCCGCATATTATTCTAACTTTTGATATGTCCCTTAGAAGCAGGACCAG